CTTACTGTAAAGTGTATATATATATATATATATATATACACATATTTTTGTATTTTTTACAAATCTATATTTTTACTTTTGCCATGATTTGTTTGTCATCACTCTGATTGGTGGAATAGAATCATGGGTAATATAGTTTTCACCACAAATTGTGCTGTTAAAAATAAGTTGCAAATGAATGGCTTCAACAAAAGCAAATGCCATTGATTAACAACCTCTGTGCAGGTTTGTCTTTAAAGGTTTATAAGTTATTAAAAATCAATTATAAAGCGGATAGTTCCGGTGCTTGATTCTGATTGGCTGAGCCGCTTTCGAAGCTGTTGTAAGCTTATTGCTTTATTTCACAGTGGAGAAAATGAATAAAGTTTTTACTTTGCGCTCTATTGTGATGGACACGTGACATAATTTCCTGTTGCAAGGTCTGAAATAATTGCGTCTGCTTAATCCCAGGATCCCGCGAGCGGTCAGTGACCGTCTAATGAGATTGTTTAACGAGCGTGTCACTGAACGTGTCCGATGAAGTTCAGCTGTGAGCCCTTCACATTCTGTTCCTTCATCGAGTCTCATTAGACTCCAGCTCTCTGTCTGTCCTCAAATAACCGGAGCGGAGCGACCTCTCCGTCTGCCTGCGCTTTTATTAGAGCAAATCTAATCTGCAAAATATGCACAGCACACATACAGCTAACAGCGATAAACCCAGGAGGAAATAATGGAGCGCTTCGGTGTTTACTCCAAAATAAACCACTTAACTGGCCTGATGGGAACCGTGCTCAGATTAACAAGCTTACGTCATTATGGCGTAAGTCAAATTATACAGAATTAACACACAAACACATGAAGTGCTGAAAGAGAATGAAGCTACATGACAAATGTTTCTCTACAGCAGGGCACACATATAAATCACTGAACATGTGAAACAGAATAAATGCACAGCACATGACAGACTTAAAAATTAATAAAACACTGAAAATTAATTCATAAACGTGTAAATTTAAAATAAATTATTTTAAAGTAAAAACCATTTAAAAAACATTTGCTAAACACCATTCATTCATAAAAATGCAAAATTAAAATACATTAATTAAAATAATAATAAAAAAATAATTAAATTAATTAAATCCAGTTTAAATTTTATATAAATTATTTTAAAATAAAAATTTTAAAATAAAAATACAAAACTATTAATTAAATCATAAAAATGTCAAATATAAGTGATTTTGAATCACTTATAAAAAAAAATCAGATAAATAAATTTTATTTATTTAAATAAAATATTTATTTATTTTTTCAAATAAATTTTTCATTTTCTTTTAGTTTAACTTGATGTACCAAAACAGCTCAAACTAAAACTGAAATAAACATTTATAAAAACCTATTTTAAAACTATTTTAAAGTGTCTGTATCACTTCAAAAAAACTAATAAAAATGACAAAAACACACAAAAAATTACTACAGAATGTTACTAAAATTAATATATGACAATGAAAAAGATAAAAATGAAAACTAATTCAAAACATAAACAAAAAACTACAACTGTCACAATTAAACTACAAAAATAATCAGGGAACCAGGAACATGCAAATGTGTTGTTGAATTACCGAAATATTAACTTTAAAGATCACATATTTTACACCTTTCTGGAGTTTTATTTTAAGTCTTGATGTCCTTAAGAATACATATTTGCGGTATAAGTACCAAAAACCATCTCAATATATTTTTACAGCTCCTCTCTCAGGAGCTCTGCAAAGAACAGGTCGATTTTGGCCTGTCTAATTAATATTCATGAGCCTCTCTTCTGATTGGCCTGTTGTTTTCTGAGTGACGCACGGCCAAGCCAACCACAGGTAACTAGGGTCATGTATGCTGTAGCCTGCTGTGGATTGGTGATACTCACAAGTAAGGTCAATAGAAACACATGGTCACTGCTGAGGGAAATGTTGTCCGAGCGTTTGCGATCACGTGAACTTGAAGACACTTGTACAAATGCGGATGGGTGACATGAATGGAAATGATTCCATATTGGCGATGTAGTATTGGGTTTCTGTATTCTGTACTGTATTTTCCTGCGCTCAAACCTGCCAATCTAAAGGATCAAACGCCGTGTATGGCGTTTGAGGTCATTTGTGAATTCTTAAACAATTTGCAACTGTTGCTATTATTACACTTGTAATACAACACTTTGTATTATGCTTGTTATAGAGTGTGTGACGTCACGTGCACTACGTTTGACGCGGTTGTCACGGCGACCGTCACAGCCCTACTGTGCAATGATGTAGTTTCCTGACATCCAGACTGAACAGCGTTTTCTCGACATGTTTCCGTGTTGTTGTTGCTCAGCAATGGCATGGACGCGATGTTGTCTGGGGGTTTGGCAAAAGGAGAGTGGGACTGTGGGCAGTGCTCGGGGTTTTGAAACTTATATGGTAGTTACATAGCCCCTAGACCTCAGTAATCATGAAAAAAAATAAAAATAAAAATCAGTTTTGACAATATGGGACCTTTAAAATCTCAATCAGGATTCAGCTGACAAAAAGATTGGGAATCCCATCATTTAAATGCACTTCTATTCTGTTTCTATTGGCGTTTCAGACACACTTCAGTACAACTTTATTGAGTTGGATCGTCACAAATGCTGCAGATGCATTTTTAACAAACCAGAGACATAAAAAACACCTTCACTGATTTTGAAACACTGGAATACACTCTGTCACGGGGTGTGTGTGTGTGTGTGTGTGTGTGTGCGTGTGTTGAACCCTGACCTCGAACACTCAGCCCCACCCCTGACACTGATGCCCACTGATGATGTCACTCTTATTTACACGTGCCGACGGCCAATTAAAACACACATGATGACCTTCACACACTCATCAATCACTGATGCGGCTCTCCCACAATCCAACACAACTCAAATAAACGATCTTCAGTTCATTACCATCACACGTCAGTCCCATCATGCCTGGAAAACATCACTTTAAATGAAGCTCACGTCTGGACGTTTATAAATGACAGACATTAAAATCATCACCAGTGAAAATACACAGAGAAACAAACGGCTGCAGATGTGCGCAAAACGCTTTCAGGATGAAAATGTGAAAGAAATTAGAAATAAAAACTCAACAAGCAGCGAATCCGAACGGGCCAGAGGATTCAGACCGCCGCTTCAACTGCTTTTAACTGCGTTTAATCCCAGACATGAAAATATCCAAATGATGTGTCATTAGTAACCCTTTGAAATAATCAATAATTATTATTATTATTTTTTTTTTTGGAAAAGTGTGTGAAAAATTGTGTTATAAAACAGATAGTTCCGGTCCTTGATTCTGATTGGCTGAGCCGCGTTTGAAGCTGTTGTAAATTACTCTACAAAGTAACATACACCTTTGTTTACGTTTGTCTGTTGCTCGGCAACCACTTTGTAGCAACCACAACTGTTTCTGAGGAGCTACATTGTTTGGTGGAAGAATACTGTTTTTATTAATATCATTACACTTTATTTGCTCGGTTTTATTTTGTGAAACCTTACTACGTATATGGAATAACCGTTTTATAAAAGCAATAAGCCCCAAGAAGCTGTGGTTTAGTGAATTTATAACAGCTTCACGGGGCTTATTGCTTTATTTTATGGTCGGTCACAATTGTGCGTGTACTGAATTAACATATTTCTGCAGTCATAAAAATTGTTATATATCTTAGTCCAGCTATTTTAAACCATTTGATCACATACTAGGGTTACTATTATGCATTAAAAAAAACGTATACAACACTAATAGGAAAACTGAGATAAAATACAAAAATACAACCATCAACAAATTTCAACATTGTTACTTTTTTGTAATATATATCGTCAAATTGTTATATTAGTGCTACCAGTGCTGCTACAACAATATTGGAACTTATTTGTTACATTTTCAAACATGTTTTTTTTCTTCTTTCTTTTGACATAGTGCATGTTCAGATTTAAAAGAAAACGTTATTTAAAATTAAAGCCTAATTCAGAATATTAAAGGTTCATGAAACCCCAGACTACTTTTTCTGAGATTTTAGTGGAGGTGTTTGTGTTGCACATCATAGAAGACAATGTTAGCATCCGTTAATATTAACTGTTGGAGAAAACTGGTTAATTTTTAAGGTTTTTGGTGCTATTTTTGTCTTCCGGGTTTAAAATCGACATCGTGTTGATGTCACAGTGGCAAAGGACTATAGTATTTCGATGACATGTCAGTGTCTCATAATTATTCATGAGACTGCGTGTTCTTATCCTATGAGAAGACGCTTCGCTTAATTATTCACAACAGCATGTGTTGATTTGCTATGACAGACGCTTCAGACTGAGATCGTGCACACTAACTGAGAGAAGCGTTCATGGATCGAAGGAGAGCGTTTGTTTTTGCTTTGTAAGAGTTTGGCACAAACGCGATTCACTTCGTGAGTGTAACCGGTTTTTACAGCTCCTTGACGCAACCCATCAAAAGGCTTATAAACACCGCAAAAATAAGCCTTAAAAGTTAATAGAGGTGCAACAGCGCATTCATATATGAGTGCAAATGGCTGTGCATTTATTTATGTTTTTAACTCTATGGGAGTGAAATGAAATGGTCTGAGCCTTAAGCTGTGTGTTGTCTGTCTCCCCTCTTCGCCCTCTGATTCACAGCGCACCACGCACCAGTTTTTTAGCGTTTTTTAAAACTGTGGTGAGAACTAACCAGTGCTGAAACAGGGGTTTCATGACCCTTTAACAAAAACTGTAATAGTTTAAGAATGGCACTGAAGTAACAGCAATTCAGATGCATACTAGAATGAAGCACTGAAGAATGTAAACTATAACGGTACATATCGGTACACTATAACTCTGATCTGATCAGATGATGTTCTAGTATTGACTAGAGTCAACAGGAGAGAGAGTGTGTGTGTGTGTGTGTGTGTTTCCTGACGGAGAAGCCGAGGTCACAGTGACAGATGAACGAGCCCTTGGTGTTTTCACACTTCCCGCTCAGACAGATGTTTGGATTCAGCTCACATTCATTCACATCTGACACACACACACACACACACACACACACACACAGAATAAAGTTACACAGAAGTAAAAAATAAGAGACATTTGACATTTAACATAGTACTGCGTAAGTACCTTATTTCTAGTTTTAACGTGAAATAAGCATGAATTAACATCTCATGCCTCGTGTAATCGCACCATCAGTGTTTCACTCACGGAAAGATGTGATTAAAACAGCCTGTAAACAAAACGTCACGTAGGCAAGTCATCAGTGTCCACAGCTCGTTATTTGCTAGAGAAATAAAGTCTAGAGAAGAGCATTTCGTGAAATATTAGACTACATAGCTACTCATTATATTTTACTTGATGTCTTAATCATTTAATGTATATTTAAATAAATATATTTACACAGACAGCCACTGTGTAAATGATTATATTTCAACAACAAATAGAAATTTTATAATTTAGAAGTTAATTTAAAAATTGCATTGAGTGCAATTTACATGTTTGCATACAATTTTTTTTTATTTGAGTGTTGATTATTATAGTTAAAAATAAATAGTAATTAAATTTAAGTTTGGACTAAGTTTGAACACTCTAAATTGGAAAGCAATTTTTTCTTAAAGTGTGCATCATCTTTTGAGACAAATTCTTACATTTAATCAGTTAATTATAATAATAATAATACATTTAGGCTGTTGCTAAACAAATTAAATCAGTATCAACAAAAGTAATCTTTGCAGAAGTTGCATATGAAGTGGCATTTAGATGTATTTACACATGTTAATGCAGCTTAGAGGGACACGGAGTGCTTTAACCTGCAGTTACAAATGCATAAATAATGTTTTGATATTTTAAACATAAAACGTTGAATACTGATATTTGAAATTATTTAAAAAATGAAAAGATACTTTAAATGAGAAATTAAAACAGCCAGTAGGTGGCAGCAAGTCACAGTTAATAAGTGAGTCATTGCGACTGAACCGAATCATTTGAACCACATAAATATAATGCAGCTTTCATATAAAGCCGCATGCGGCCCGTCACGAATTCAAATGCGGCCCACCGTGCTGAACACAATTAAAAAAAAATACTTTGTTTTACGCAGTACTCGCATAGCCTAATTAACGTTACGCATTTAAAGTAACGACCAAGTGGCCAGCGGCAGACAGTGAGCATATGCTTGATCAATTTAGCCTTCTCAAATCATCACGACTTGACTAAAATAAAATCTATAGATATAAAACAGTTCAAGCATATAAAAATGCTTAAACGTTAAACCTAGATAAATGTGCGCTGTATCCAACAGTTTGGCAGAGAGTGGAAGCTGAAGCGCGCTTTGCAGGACATGGAGGCGCCAGCGCGATCACTG